TTTGTCTGATGGTTTTCTAAAGAGGGAAAAAAAAAAAAAAAAAAAAAAAAAAAGGACAAAATATCACTTCTAGCTATTGTAAACCAGGAAAGCATATGTTACCAGGGGAAACCTCATCTTGGAAACTGAAATAAAAAAGTTAGTATGATGTTTTTACTGCTGTTCCATAACAGTAACAAGTTTAGTACTAGACTAGACTGTGTAGCACTCCTCTGGTTCAGAAAATGACCATTTTCTGCTTATCTTTCCATTTTATCTTCCATTTGTGGAGGTAGTCTTAAGTCTAACCTTTTTTTTCCACAGTATTGCATCAAATTTAAAATATTAAAATATTAAAGGCAAAATCCCTAAGGGCTTTTAATTAGACATTGCAAACATCTTTTTTGACAAATTACATCAAGATTAAGAAGTCAAAGTATCCTGAAGATAAAATGCATAAGGCATCCATAATATTCTGTAGAACAAAGGCCAAATATGTTTCTCATTTACCCAAGAAACAAAATGGAAATTGACATATGCTCTACAACATTCCTTTTTAGGTTGGTGTACCAAGGATGTTGTGCTGAAATATGAAACTATTAATTCTATTTCACTAGCAGCTGAACACCTGATAACTTGGTGGGGCAGTTGATAGAGGGAGAAGAATAACACACACATACAACTGTATGACCTAATAGTCTCATTCCTTATGGAGCGATAAACAAACTCAATAAAACAAATAGCCCACTACAGTTACAAAATTGTATTTTGAAGTGGCTCTTCAAGACATTGGTTACTCTTTTAGGCCAGGATTCCCTTGGGTCTTATTATTCATCACTTCAGCCTTTATGTGAGCAGCTCTGTGATATCTTCTTAGGATCAGAAGATCATATCCAGCTTTCATTACAACAAAGTGCCATAGTTATCAGATGAAAAAAAAATATTCACAAAAAACAATATTTCTCATAGTGCCTTCAAATTTACTCTTAACAGTGTTCTTGGAGAGTCAATGAGATTTCCATGTTAAAATTTTACAGTGAACTAGAACAAATAAAGCAAGAACCATTTGACTACATTATCAAAAAGAAAAGTCTAGATTTCACTTAGATAGGTATATTAGTCAAAATTATAATAGTATTTAGAACTGCAACATGTAGAGTTCTGGAAGAAAATTCATTTATGCATGAAAATTTGATTATTTGGTTCAAATTATAGCATTCAAAAATTATGAGAGCTGGTGATATGCATTATTCAAATAAAGGGCATATTTTGGAAATTTGCTTTTATATCTCTCTCATATCTAGAAGGATTCTACATACAGAGCATATTAAAAATGCATTAAAGAAACCAGAGTTAGGCAATTAATATCTTGAGGGTTTGTGCAATAGTTTCCATAAAGCAGTCTAGCTATATTCTGTATGCTGTGGGAATATAGCTCTATCTGTATCAGTATAATGAAGAAATCAACATATTCAGTGAGTATTTTAGATTTCCCTGTGTGCTGGAAATTGCTAATCAAAATGTTCATACTGGAGTCCATAATAGCCTCAGCCTCAGCATGGATAGCAAAGAGCAACTATCTGATCTCCCAGTTTTTATTTTATTGAGCCCTATGAAGGTGATGAACAGTATTCTGACCTCTAAGAAAGTTCACCCTGTAGCTAAGGGTTTTGAAGGACAGTGGTGCAAATGCAGACCCATAAAGCAATCTCATTTTGTAGAACCAGGGTACAGCAGCTGTTCAGACAATGGCAGCCTTGAGGTTATAAAAGTGGCTGTGGAAGTCAACACAATTTAAATGATGATTTCTCTCTCCCCTCAAGGAGCCTCCCCAGCATAGAGTTATTTGAGTCAGGAATCACCCCTCCGGGCAAGTAGCATGTGAGAGTAGTAATCCTCTTGTAGGAAAACAAATCTGTTCTGCCAGTTTAATTCTGGTCTCTGTGCTTGCATCAAACAACCCTACTTGTTTAAAACAGTTAAGCCTTATGCTTGCAATGTGTAATTATAAACTGAGACAATGAATACTTGTCCTTCATACAATAGCAGTCAAATGTATCTCTTTCCTTTTGATAGATCAGGATTTTTTTTAGTGACTCATGAGAGCCAATTTAAGTCAGACATTGCAGGGGACAGAAAAATGAAAAATAGCTTCAATTGCTTCAATGAAAAATTTAACTAGGATTTTTTTCATCTTAAAAGCTGGAAACAATTTAAACCAATAAGCTTTAGGCAAACTGACATACAGAACAGCTTAACATAACCTAGAACAGATACCTCTATTTGTCTTCCTCCATTTTCCATTTTCATTTCAACTTTCTGCTATGCATTTTTCACCTGTTCTGTTGCGGGAGAGCTGAGCATGTACACGACCAATGTGATCAAGAAATGCCCGTTTATTACAACTAAGAAAGCCCTTTGATAATGTTCTCCCGCACACATGAGTAACACGCAGTACAAGTCCTCAAGATTGGACAGTTAACTTAGCCCGCGCTTTAAACCTTCGTATGATTGGATAAAACATGCCACATCAGCCTTGCCAGGCTTCCTGCCTTGTGTAACTTCCTCTTCCATCCCAACCCCTTCCGGGGGTTGTTTGTCTCCTCGAGTTTCTCCCCCCTCATTCAGAGTCACATCCTTATCACATTCTTGCTCAGGCTGAGGCTCTTACCAGTCTTGTTCTCACACAGGATTGCTCACATGTCCATTCTCTCGCAGAAAGTCCTCTGGAATCCCAACATTCTATCTTATACATACATACTCTATAAGTAATCTCATTCATATACTCACATATTCTACAGAAAAAAAATAAAATAAATAGACATACTTCAGGTTATAAAAATTAAAACATAAAGCTTGAGTTTGGCTGAAGTGCAGATGAAGTCCTGAGAGCTGCCAATGCTCACACCCAGTGGCCCAGGTTTAGAGCTAATGTTTCTTTTGGTGCAAGGATCCACTTGGGACAGGCAGTAGAGCCATCACTGCTCATAAATCCTGCTTCTTCCCGGCCTTTTGATTGTATACAGGAATTTGGAAGGGGAACTGGTACTATGTGGTATTTGCGATATCATGCAAAACAATAAGGTTATTTCAAGGGCTATTATATCCTCTTGTTGCATGGAAGACACCAAAAGCTCAGTTCTGTGAACAATGTGGCACAAGCTTTGAACAATGATGCACAAGGTTGTCAAAGGGTTTTGGCTTACTTTATCCCTGCCTCTGTTTCCACCACACCATGGTGCTAATTACAAAAATTACCAAGAGCTTCTCTTAAGAACTTTTTATGGTTCTTGAGGCTGTCACTAGCCATGATGAAAAAGAAGGGAAATTTCTTGCAGTCCTTTTCTGAAAGTGGGAATTTAACAGATTAATTAGCAATTTTATTTTAAAAAGAAATTAATTAACAAATCCTATGCACTTTTCACTTGTCACTTAATCTTCTATGTTTCCATTTGGCCAAAGACCCTTTTTCATGTCTGCTGAAAACAATAATCTGATTTAATTTCATTCTCCAGGTGTAGTTTTCCACTTACTGGCTTATATGAATATAAAATCATCTGCTGGGACTTCCTCTATATGATATGAAGTATTTTCTGATTTTCAAGAAACAAATGCTTGTTAAGCATGTTTTTAGCATGTTTAGCTACCCTTATTCAAGCTGAGTAATTAAATTGACCAAAACAGCAGGATGCTGAAGACATAAAAATCATGTTGCATATTGAGGTTCCTCTTGCCCTTTATTACATCTCTTGGTTTGATTCTCACAACCATATGGCTGCATGTTCCAAGTTACATAAGAACAGATATTGATACGACGCTGGAATTTTAACAGTACCGACAATTTCTACACCAATGGATTTTTAAATAGTTATTCTAAAAACTAATAACTACAACCCATAGATATTCATCAACTTGCATTGCTCAGTTTTGAACACTTCATTTCCTGTTTGGACTCAAAATATTTTCTTTTTAAAATTAATTTTCATTGTCTTTTTTAGAATAAACAAGTGAAGTTATTTACTTCTGTTAGACTCAGAAGTGTCACGTAAGCTCTGACAACCAGCTCCCATTTCCCCTCTGCACGTAGCCTGTCTTTCTTTCAAACAATTTTATTATCTTCTTTCATTACTGCAGTAGTGCAAATAATGAGGAAAATCACATCATGACCAATAAAAGTATAGTACCTATGTCCTTACTCTCAGTGTCACAGTTCTCTCAGTTCTTGATATAATGTAATGAGATGTTAATACTTTTTTTAAAAAACAAATATTTTCATCTTTCAGAGTGGTAAACTTTTAAGAATGTGCCCAGACATAAATACAACATTGTCTCTGACAGTATATACAACTCCAAAATTACTTCCAGAAATTTGAAGCACTCCACTTGTCTTTTCTATAAAAGCACCCTTCATGAAGACAGGACTGTCTGTAGGAATTAAGGTGACTCCACTTGCACCTAAGTTAATTTATCATAAGGACTTATATGATCTTCACCATATTTGAACATAGGAGGAACATGTGTCCTCCTCAGACAGCTATATGGCAAGTTACTGCTCACACAAATTTCGAAAGGGAGCTGAGGAACAGAAAGTCTCAGTGGTGCATCTAAAATACGTAAAGATTAGAAAGAGGAAAAAAAAAATTTAATTTCACTTACACTGGGACAGATTCTCACTGCCTGAGAGGGAAGTGGGAATGCACCCACCAGGAGTTGGGCAGAAAAGTCTTTTTATGCTTCTCTCATTTTGATTTCAAGACAAAGCTGCTGTAGGGGTATGGGATATGGAGTTATATGAACTGTACATGGAGGCTGGATTTCCTTAGCTGGGGATTTTTTCAGTTGCCCTGAAATGCATACTTATCCATTGTGTCCCCACTAATACTAATAGGTATCACGCTGGCATCCAGCTAAGTAATTCTTTTGTCATCCACAGATGGACAGGGGATTACATGGCTAAGAAATGAAATAAAAGCTAAATCCCTATGCTTGATAAAGCTTTGCCTTTTTTCTCTTTCATTCAGGATTACCGAGTGAACATCTTTCTCCGTCAGAATTGGAATGACCCACGCCTTGCATACAGTGAATATCCAGATGACTCTTTAGACTTAGATCCATCCATGTTGGATTCAATTTGGAAACCTGATTTATTCTTTGCTAATGAAAAAGGTGCCAACTTTCATGAAGTTACAACAGATAATAAGTTGTTAAGAATTTTCAAAAATGGAAATGTACTTTATTCTATCAGGTGAGTCTCTAATCAAATTATTTTTTTCAGATAGAAGCTCAAAAGTGTACCTAAGAATTACTAATGGATACCTTCAGGTGCTAGTCATGCAGAAGTATCACTAAAATAGTTGTGAGTTTTGAATACAGAACTTTATCATCATTAATATTCATTGTTAATATTAAAATAGAAAATGATCCCTCATTTGGCATGCACATAGTAAAAATAATAAAAGTATCTTAAAAGAGCCTAGAGGAGCTAGGACACTTGGCACAGAGCAAATAACCCTGGAGAATTATAATATGAGCTGGACTATGTATGCTGTAGTCTCCTATGTACAATGTTATTTCTTTTTCACCTTTTTGGCTATTGCAGTTGCACTTCAACATAAAAATATGACCTGTTGGAGGAAGCATGGCATTTAAAAATAGTTCATACTTCTGGAGATGGAGAGAAAAGTGGAAAGTAAACTTTTGAAAAGGTTTAAGAAGCTGTAAACAGCATTCCTAGTATTGACAAAATCTAGTTATCCTACTTGTTTTCTTTTCTCCCCACTTTCCTTTTATTAATACAGATATTAATAGGCATTTTACCACTATCTTCAAAAATCTGATATAATGAGAAACACATTGGATATGAGTATACTATTATCCCCATCAGACATGATATAGATTTAGTATTAATAGAGTGACCTACTTGTGCAAAATGTTACACTTTTCAAAACAAATATACCTCTTGTCCATTTAGTGTTTTGCTTTGCAAGCTTTTACAACACTGAATGAATGGGTAACTGGACTTTTTGAAGAGATAGCAGGAATCTGTAAAACAGTTTGTATGCCAAGAGAAAAAGAAAACATTTGTGGCTTGTGTGGATGTATCAGTGGCAAGGGAGTCTCCTTCCTGCCTCCTTCCAGTGCAAGTGGGCATTGTCTTGTCAAGCTTACACAGGGAGAAAGAGTTGGGTTAAAATTCCTGCAAGCATTTCATATATAAAAGAAGGTTATTCTCCCAGTCTGCAAATATAACCATTCTTCAGAGTCACAACATGTATTCTGTCTCTAGAAACAGATGGAAAGAAAGTAAAAAGGATTCCTTATCCTGACCCAAGTAGAAAGTAGAGCTAAATCAATTATCTCCAGACTGTTTGAGTGACCCTAAGAGGCACTGGCAGTTGTTCCACTCTAATCAGATAACTTTTCCTCCTTGCTCTACCCCGTTCAGATATGTACAATACAGAGTATAGACAACACCACTCGACTGACACAAGTTTGGATTGCAACTTCAATAGAATTCAGACCAACCACATGGTCCCATGAAATGGGGGGAAAACCCAAACAGGAAAAATATTATAATATTAAATTCTAAAAGCAAACATTGACTGTGATGAAAGCAGATGCCAGATAGCTCCTGTGTTTCTTATGGAGCTAGAAAGTTTATGTTGCCATGACTTAATTAAGGACTATTACAATTTCTGAAACAGATTTAAAATCATACAATTGGCATCTAGTTGAGTTGCTATGTGAATCTGAGTCAGTTAAGCTTTTGATGAGGGGAGACATGTTAATTGCTAATGTGCTGATATTAAAAACAAAACAAAACAACACAAAACAAAAAACTTTTCTAAATTTGCTTTTTCCTTTCATTCCCTAATGTCTCCTCCTCCCCTAATCGTATTGGAACAATTCAGACAAGAAAATAATGAAAAGGTTTCAGTTGCTGATTCAATGAATACTTAATATAAAATATTAAAATATTTACTGAAGCACAAAGTAAAGTCCAGGTGCCTCTTCTCTGTAATAACTTGCTGTGTTACTAACCTACTAGTCATATTTTGCATTTGGAACCATTTTTAATATCATGGGAATAGGGCCTGAGTCTGAGTTCCCTCCTCAGTCTGTCCCCCTGCAGCTCTGTCACTGAAGGCTAAACAGAAGTTATAGCAACAAAGAATCAAGAAACTTTGTATAGGGAAAAAGTAGGATAAAAGAAATACACAGTCATACTTGCTGCCTACTGCCAACTTCCCTTTAGCCCCAGGGCCAAAAACTGGGGAATGGGTTTAAGCAAGGGGATTAGAGCACTGCCATTATAGAAAAGCCTTATGTGTAAGGAATGGAACTCAAGCCTGTTTGGTTTTTGAAGAACACTCTATCAACCGAATTGATAAATTAATGTGGGGCAAAATTTTCATGCAAGATAATTTCTAGCAAGAAGAAAAGTGCAGTCATGATTTTGAATGATGGATACCTAAACATGGCCAGTGAAGGAAAACATGTGCCTTTACCTCTTATATTACTTTTTCTCATTCCTCTGAGAAGTATCACTCTAAAGATAAATTACTGTATTGATATAAAATGTAAAAATACCTCTTTTGCCTATAGGTTGCAAAGTATTTCACAGGAAGTATCAGGACAGATGTGAAACACAGCTGCAGTTCAAAATTCCGGCCATATTTCAGTCTACTATCGATAGCATAAAATGTTATCTTAAACCTTTGTGTTGACAATTTAAGCACCTTATTTTAGGACAATAACACATAAATTACTTTGCCACCATGATTTGCAGCTGACATCTGTTATGAAATTCTTGCAAATCTGGGTAAATTTTATGTCAAGGATTTGAAACACTGTAACAGTACAATAATTCTGCTGTAGCACCAAAAAGTATTCTGTTGTTGCATTCCTTTGGAGTTCTTATAAAGTTAGGCAACCCTACTGAAAAATCTGTTTTTCTGAAAGTCTGTAATAATTTTTTTCCACATTGTCATACTAGGTTGAATGTGTGAAACTGGTTCAGCTAATATACATCCCTTTTGAGAGCTTTCTAAGGAAAAAATGTATTTTCTTCTATTTCTAATGACTTCCAGTGATTTCATGCATTCTTCCTGTGCAATTCTATGGCATTTTTGTGGTATATTTTTAATATTTTTTTGTGTTCTTTCAGATTGACTTTAATACTATCCTGTCCGATGGATCTCAAAAATTTTCCAATGGATGTGCAAACATGTATAATGCAGCTGGAAAGCTGTAAGTTTGTGTAATGTATTATCATCTAAATTCCTTTGTAGGGATTATAACAGCTATGCAGGAGGTAGAAAGACCCCTTGTAATGTACAAGAACAAATATTTTTAAAAGAATCCTCTATTTTATAAAAAAAGAATCTCTGAAACATACATGATTTTCAAAGGAAGAGCGCCGGTTTATCTTTATGAAAAATTCATGCATATGGGTTCTCACCATTAAGTCTTCCCTGTGTTCACACATACAAGGGGACAGTATATGGGAGAGCATAAAGGAAACATGATAATAATTGAAGGAAGTCATTTACGTGAATATCCTGAAATTGATAATAACTTGGTGTCCTTAAAAGCTGGAAACAAGATTATATATAGAGTCCCTGCTCTTCAGTCTCCTGCCCTAGCTCTTCAGCATGCCTACATGTTATAGCTACATATCTCTAATTTTTACCTAATCATCCTAGAAGTATCAGAGTACATACAGATGGCAGGTATATTCACTATGTACATTTATGCTTCAGACAAAGTAATACATTGTTTGAACAATCAAAAGGTATAATTTATCAAAAAGGTGTTTAAAAAGTTATGAAATTGTTGCTTTATCAAACTCAGATGTATTTTTCCTCTCTATCGGTCCTTGTGAGAACAGGTCATACAGCAACTGAGCATTCTTGAAGAAACAGGCTTCTGTTTTGCTTTACAGAAACCTTGCAGGAGCTCACAATTCTCATAGACTGCACCACGTGGAACCAATACTTAGTAGTTGAATAGCACTATAGATGTTCTTCTGTTCCAGAAGAACATTTTTCACTGAAGTCTTGTTTTTAATCACTCAGTTCTGTGGGAGTAAATTCCCTACTGCACATTCACGTAGTAGAGAGAGGCAACGTTCACAAAAGAAGAGCTAACAAAATACAGATGAGTGTTTCAAAATCTTCTAGTTACAAAGAAAGAAAGATTTCACAAGGAAATTACAAGTAATAAAGCTTTACCCATATCACCTTGCCTAATTCTATTTTACCTGTAACTCTAGACACTGAAAGATAGAGAGGATGGACAAAGTAGCCAGCCTGAGGCAGAAAATTCTGCAGCATGTGGGACCTCTGGGTATACCTACGTGTCTGATAGCCGAATAACCAGCTAGGTTTGCAAGAACAAGACATTAGTTCCCTGAAATAACTTTGGGATAAATCAGAATAAGATAGACACAGTGACATAATTTCCAAGCTCCTAGACCTTCAAAAGCAGGAATTCACCTGCCCCAAACCAGTTTCTCTATGCAGGAATTATAGGAAGGGAAATAGACACCTTGGAGCAGTTACAAAATATATCTACATGCTGGACAGGAGAGTAACTAGGTTTAAAAAAATAATAATTATCTAAGTCTGAACTGTAAGCAATTTCCAAATCTTGTAAAAAGGTGAGCAGAAAAATTTGAATTCCAGAGTCTTTGGCTAAGAACAGGCATTCAGTTCTCTTTATAATTATAGATAAAAGAAGGAAGATGAGTGCCTTTGCCATATTCCCAGGATTCATATCAAATGTCCTGAGGTTAGAACTCACATAACCCTCAAAGCCTGAATCCATCCAAGCATCTCTAATTTCTAGGCCACAATGTCATACTCTCCTGTAGCTTCCTGGCTTACATTTTTTGGTGCACAGTGAGACAACTTAAACAGGGGGATCAAAGCACTAACTCTGGTGGTTAATGCACTGTCTAGAGAAGTGGAAAACATGGAGTTTCAAAACTAAGAACGCAGTCGTCTCATGTCCTGAGTAAATTATCTGATCATCAGGCTGTGTTATAAAATCCAAAGCAGTTGCGGGAGCAAAACAGCATCAGGCATGCTTCCAGATGTTTCTTTTTTAAATGATGATCGTCGCTGTTTTTTCCACTGACTGCCACTTTGGGTAGGACATTTTACATTTATGAATTTACAAGGCCCATTTATCTCACAGCTTCTTTAAATTGTATCTGATCTTGCAAGACTTGCTCCTGCAAGTCACTAAGCAAATTGGACTGTTTCTAACAAATCACTCATCTTTTTCTTACTGATCTTACCACCAGGTTGCAAAGAAAGGCTGACAGTTACTTATAAAGGACAGATCATAGATTTTACCTCTGCTATAAAGTAATTATTTTCTTTGGTACTAGATACTTACCCTCAATATTGATAGTGCTGCTCCATCATACAAAAGTCTAACAGGAAAAATCATATATAGTTTTTCTTTCCAAATGATATTTATATTTTTAGCCAGCTCATGTCATTTTTTTTCCAAGGTCAGTCTAAGCAGCTGGATTTACCCCTACTTCACTTATCATGAAGTTTCTGAAAAATATTTAAGTGGAAATGTCTTCTATTTTTAAATGATTTATTTTACCAAATGGTTTCTTAACAACTAGAATGAGTTGCTTTTGCATCTTAGACAGAAAGCAAATGAAAATGCATGTATGAAATAATCCCTTCTACATTTCTATGCCTTATACCAGGGCAGCCTATAGGCATATGAGATAATTTTCGTTTTATTCTACTTGAATGAGATACAAAGGCATGTCAGCTAAATATGCATTTATTTCTGTGGCCAGGCTCTCAGGAAATAAATGTTTTTCTTTCATGTGCTAGAGCTTTTTGTCTCTTTAATTTTTAACTTTCATTTTTATCTCACAGATTCTTTTATTCATATATTACAATTATATACTTTGTGACATTCAATATTCCTGAATTTTCAACGAATAGTGAAAAGACTAACTCAATTACAAAAGAGGTAATATACTATGAAAAGTAACATATGTAAGGGAGGAAGCACATGCTCACCTCATAATTTTATTCTGATGCTTATTGTCACTCATAATATATTAAACAATGGCCTTTTTTTTTTTTTTCTTATTGATTTATGGAGTCTTTGTAGTCTTCCTAAAAAATCATCCTCCTATCTTCTGGATTTTTAGAGAAATTCACTCCATACTGCATGATGCTGTTACCTGAATAGTACAGTTCCTTTCTTCCCAGTCTCTAAATTGGACACTGTGCAAATGGAAAGATCTGTAAGCAGGCTACAGCAGTACAGGCTACTGCATTACAGAAAATTATGTGTGCATTTTATCTTTCTCACAACAGCACAAAGACACCATAAGAAAGATAACAGAACCGGAGAGTATTTCTTATCTGCCAGAGAACCTCAGGTGTCTGACAGGAATTATGGACACACTAGGTCAATGCCAGCCTATGCTTGAAGTGTGGAAACCATACCACTTCTCTCATTTCAGTAGTACAAAATTGTCAACAACTCATCCTATGGTTTCTACTCTGCAGATGGGTGACTCAGCCCACCGTGCGTATCTGAAGTGACACCTGACGCACAGCTACAAAGAGCTAGATATTTGTAGTCTTCAGCTCCCAACCAATGCAGGGTGAAAGAGCAGTAGTAATTGTACAACTGCTGCTGAACCCACAGAAACTAAGATAAAAGTGACAGCTGAAAAGCTATAGGCTTCAGCAAGCAATATTAGGTTTCAGAGATATGGTAGAGGGCTGGACCTGAAATGTTACTCTTCTCTGAAATTCAGGCTAAGTAGTATCAACCTGTAACTCCCAAGGAAGAGATTCCATCAGAATGACTTAGAGGGCAGTGCAAGGGGCAGATTCTTTGCAAAACAGCTTAGAAGTGCATAGAATAAAAACCTGCTTTCTTGTAGCTCCAGCATAAATTTCGTCTTGAAATGCATCACAGCTGATTTTTAGTGCATAATGTATATTAGCAGAATTTATTCTAACCTCAAGCCAAAACCAGATTTGTTATCTCTGTCATACCTTCCCCCTGCCATGTTGCTTTGAATTTAGGGCACAATTCATACCTCTGCCATGTTCTTAGGAATGTGCAGGCAGTCTATCCTGGAGGCATGCCATTGGGATGCCTAACAGAAGAGTTGTGAAATAACTCTAGTCAACATGACTATAGTCCTTGCCTCAGCTGGATACCAAAAGAACTGCTTGGTTTGCTGAATAAATCCCATGTTACTCTTGGACCTGTACCCTACTAAACATTAAAGACATTAGAATAAAATTTAGATAAATCACTGGGATTAAAAGAACTATAAATAAATGTAATGAAACCAAACTCTCTTGTACCAAAATACTAGATATTCAGCTCAGTTGTTTCATGCCATTCATGTCTTTATTTATTGAACAGGAGGAAAAGAGTTAGGTTTTAGTATGCTTGCAGGTATTGTAAAATGACACAAAGGAAGCATGGCTTTCCTGGAATAAAACAGAATGAATAGAAAATTCACAAGATATATTGGTATTCAGCTGGATCTCAAGTTTGCTCAAAAACGTTATTCTTCCTGTCTTGGAATTGTACTCTAAGGGGGGGGGTAAAAAGAAAGAACTTGGCAAATAAGACTGTGTCAGTAGAAGTAAAAGTGGGTGTACCTTGGAATTGCCAAAACAATTGTGGAGTCTCTGGAGGTACAGGGGAATTGCTTGCCTTTAGTAGCAAACGTTTTTCTATCATGGTGTAGTCCTTAAGCAGCCCTGAGAAATTATGATAACACTTTCAAAACACTTTAATAATTCTTCAAGACAAACTTGTCTTGCCTATGAAATTACAGGTTTTTAATGCCTACAGTTGATACTGACTTAGTTAAAATAAAATCTTCATACTCTTAACATGCATGTATACAATGGGTATAAATAGCTTGGTTCTGATAAGTTCTATAGAGCCATGTGGATTGAATGGAACCCTATTTGTTTCAGACAGGCTTTGTTCCCATACTTTCAAAATTGTATTAATGAAAAGGCTATATTTAGTACTAAGACTGATCAGTGGAAAAAAAAAAAAAAAACAACCCACCACACAGAGACAATCTACCTTTTTCTTTCAGAGACCTCATACGGGTGTTAATAACAACTTGTCAAAACCATTTTTTAAAAGATGATTTTCTGGGAAAGATAACTGAGACCAAGGGAAAAGTTTGATTTTCTTTTTTCCAGACACTATAGTTGCTA